ACATCATCTCCTACACCACCGTCTGAAAGAACAGGAAGACAACTTTACACAAACCCCAAACAATGGAGTTCGACCTTGAAAACCCATTACCAACATCCGATGATCTCCACTACGATTCATTCACTTCTCTCTTCACCGTTGAATCCGATCACATGCCGTCAAAAAACTACACTCAAAACCTCAAACCCACCGACCTCTATATCTCCATTCGCCATGAAACTCTCTCTCTCATCCTACAAATTTCTCACAACTTTGATCCATTCCTAGCCTACCTCGCCATCAGTTATCTCGATCGCTTCCTACCCACCAAATCAGTCACGGTATTGACCACAAATTTTTATAAATCTTGTCATATTATTGTATCCAACTTGAAATCTGACCATTTTTTAAACAATGTAGAAAGAGAAACCATGGATCTTGAAGCTTATTTCAGTTTGCTGTGTCTCCTTAGCGTTGAAGATGAGGAAAACAGAGTTTTCTCTCACTGGAATTCAGGTGAGTTTGTCTTGGTTTTTTGTTCAGTATCGAGCAAAGTCATTTGGGTAATTTTTGAAAATTCAAAGAAACTTACGTGTGATTTCTAATAAACAGCAAGATGGGGGGTTCAACTTTGACTCAGAAACCATTCGGCGAATGGAGTCCTTGATCCTTGGAGCTCTAAAATGGCGAATGCGTTCAATCACTCCATTCTCTTTCATCAGTTTCTTCATTTCATTGTTCAAATTCAAAGAACCGCCATTGAGACAAGCTCTGAAAGCTCGAGCCATTGAAATCATCTTCAAGGCACAAAATGGTAAATCCAACTTATTCACATTGTCACTTAAAAGAGAACTTAACATAATCTCCATTTTTCCTCAGAAATCAAGCTATTGGAGTTCAAACCATCAATATTAGCAGCATCGGCTCTTCTCTCCGCTTCTCATGAACTGTTTCCCATGCAATTTCTATGCTTCAGAAAAGCAATTTCAAACTGTCCACATGTAAATAAGGTATACTATTAGATTTCACTATTTATATGCTACAAATCGATTGTAGCTATATAAATCTAAACTACATTACTTTTCATCAGAATTCTTTCTGATAGCTGATGGGTTTTTCAATGATTTTTTTTCAGGATAATTTGCTTAGCTGTTACAATGTAATGCAAGAAACAGCAATGGACGGCTATCAGTCAGCGTTAGGTATGGTATCGAGCTCTAGCACCCCGGTCAATGTGCTTGATTTACAGTCCTCGAGCTCATCAAGCTCAGAGAAGATCAATCCAACTGAGACTAATGCAACTGGATCCATTAGACTGGAAAGGGACCTGAAGCGTCGGAAGATTGATGGGCTCAGAGGTCATAACACATTTCAGCTTTCGCAGATACTGCAATGCTGATGAATGAGAGAGAGAGAGAGAGAGACTACTTCATCAACCAGCTAGTCCATTGACGAGTGACAACAGTTTTACATCAAAGACCGAAAAATGAAAAGACACTCTAAATTTACTGTTTTTAGTCTTGGTTGATGGTGGGTTGGTTACTTTTCCGCTGGTCGATTATGTTTAAATGAAATTAAAAAATTGGTCATGCTTGAATCGTTTAGAAATGAGAATCGAGTAAAACGCGAATAACTCGATTATATATATATATATATAATCGAGTTGAATTTGTTGAATTTTGTTGGTTTGAATTAAATTTTTTAAATTTATTTTTTAAATTTGTTGAATTTTGTTGGTTTGAATTAAATTTTTTAAATTTATTTTTTAAATAAGTCTAGTTCAGTTCGTTTAGAACATAAGTTGAAATTGAGCCAATTCTTATTCAAATAAAATTTAAATCGAGTTTTATTTAAGTCGAATTTGAGTAGTTCTATAGATGTTCCAAAAAAATAAAAACAAACAGAAAAGGCGAGAGAAGAAAAATAATAGGGTAAATTATACTCATGTTAAAAATTTCAATTAAAAGACATTTTTATCCCTCATATATCCTAATCATCTTCTTGTTCCATCCCCTTCAGTACTCTAACCTAGGTCGTACCGCCATCATTGCCTCGACACCACAGAAACCACCACCCCTTCCTCCTTCTCCTCCTCTTCCTCCTCTCTCTCTCTCTCTCTTTGTCTCTCACACGCGTGCACACACACATACTTCCAATCCTTAATTGTGGCTTCAGATCAATTCCAAGCAAATGCCTTACCGAACTAAAAAGAAGCCCCAAAAACAATGGTCCTTGCAATATACACAAAAAAACTTCGTGGTGAGCTTGATTTCACGATTCATAGAGAATTTTTTCCAATTTTTCTGCAATTTCATGCTATACACATACACACACACAGAGAAAAACATGGTGATGAGTTTGGTTTCACAATTTAGAGCCCACCCAACTACTCCTAAGCCCTTATCCTCTTACTCCTCCTTTCGCAAAACCATAAACCCAGGCCCCAAAACCCCAAAGCAAAGCCCTTAATTTTCCACCATAATCCCTCACACATCACTTCCAAACCGAAACCCAGGTGCCAATCCAAAATCCAGACTGAAAGGGGTCTTGAATTCGACACCGAAGACACCTTCTTTTGCCATGAAAGCACCACAGGCCGCGATCTCGGCGTGCTCGCCGCAGCCTTGCACAAGAAATCCCTCATGCACAGAGGGAGTGAGGGAGAGAGAAGACCGATGATTTTTGAGGTGGTTCTTCGCCTTGAGAGAGAGAGAGAGAGAGATAAAGAGAGAGCACTGTATAGATGACGGTGAAGATTAGGGTTTGGGGTTAGGGATAGGGCTTGGGGTTTGGGTTGAGTTTGTGTTAAATAAAGGGGCAAAATAGTCTTTTTATTAAGATAGTTAATTTCGTCTAATTATTGGGGTCTCAGTGTAATTTTTAAAATGTAAGAGGATGTCTGCGTATTAAAACCAAATGTCAGGAGCTATAAATGTAATTTACCCAAAATAATATTTGTTTGTTTCTTTTTCTGGGCAGCCAAACAAGGACAAAACCTAACTTCAAATTGCAGTGTTGCATACTTGCATTTGTTTGCCTGTGTTGCGGTGATTGGTGTTTCTTTAGTTTCGAAAGGAAATGTGTTACCTGAAATGACAGTATCGCACCTTCATAAGTAATGTTAAAAGGTTAAAAAGACAAAAAAAAAAAAAACAAAGAATTTGAGCAATACTAGTTTGACCTAATTACATTGGATTGCCGGTGGATATTATTATTTGTTAAGATCCGTTATTAATTTAATGGTTATGATAGATTAGATTAATAAATTATGTCAATAAATTAAATTTTAATATTATTATTGAAAGAATTTTAATTTCTTTCTTTTGTCTGGGAGACAAATAAGGAGAGAACTAAGATCACACAAAGTGGGAGTAAGTGCGAGAGTGAGAGTGCAAAAGCAAAAAAATTCAAAAAAATTGAGAGCAATAATGCAATAAGAGCATTATCTTATAAACAGAAACATAAATTATATATATATATATTAATAAAAATTAAATTTCATAATTTATTTAAATTTTGTTATAAAACAAAAAATGCTAGGAAGACATTTCTATGCCTATGGAATACATCCTACATGGGAAAGAAGTGAAAAGATTGCAGCTGAACTACCCTATAAAAGGAACGGTGGACCTCACATCATCTAATAATATCTTAATATTTCTGTGTGTCGCCTTAGCTGGAAATCAGTAGAGGAGGCAATCACGCGTGCCTTTTGTCCCATGACATGTGAAGTGCCATACTAAAATATTAAACTCGCAAATTTAACATTTGAGTTTGTGAATTTATTATGTTTAGTTCGCGATCTTATGGCACATTCACTTTCAAAATTAATTGTAACAGTTATAACTGTTCAGTAATAATTATAGAAATGGACAAGTGGGTTCCAACAAAACTAATCCCCTTATGTAAAGAAGGGAGACTCATTTTTCTTATTTTATAATATTTTTTTATTGAATGCTTACATATATGACATTGATTAACATGATATAACCGTTACGTTAAATATTTATTTCCCCCGAAAATCGAATGACTTTCGGCTTTTGGTATTATTTTTGTTCAGCTTGCAAATTTTGCAAGTGAAATGACAGTATTGCCCCCTCAAAGGGTAATGTGAAAAGGTTGAAAATATCTGTCCAAGGGATTTCGTAATAACATGTTGGGCTCAACAATAAATGGGGCAGGTGCCAATATGGTCGTCCTCTAACAACTATTTTGGGAGACTTTATATTGAGATTCTACAGTATTATGATCCTTCGTTTTGTACCGACTGGTCCCCAACAACGAGCTTTCGCTGTCCCGCAGATATGGGCCCTATCTTTGATATATCTGTACACAGTAGAGAAGAAAATATTAAATGTAGCGATGCCACGTGTTATTATTAATCAATGATAAAATATTGAGGTGAACTTTGTAGGCTCTTTTTGTTTTAATTACTATCAAAATTACTTTATCTAATAAATGTTTAGTTGGAATTATGGGATTTATCAATTTTATTTGTTATTTTATAATTGATTGGTGGCCTAACATAATATTAATAACGTAGTATCACGATTATGCTCAATNAGCTGGAAATCAGTAGAGGAGGCAATCACGCGTGCCTTTTGTCCCATGACATGTGAAGTGCCATACTAAAATATTAAACTCGCAAATTTAACATTTGAGTTTGTGAATTTATTATGTTTAGTTCGCGATCTTATGGCACATTCACTTTCAAAATTAATTGTAACAGTTATAACTGTTCAGTAATAATTATAGAAATGGACAAGTGGGTTCCAACAAAACTAATCCCCTTATGTAAAGAAGGGAGACTCATTTTTCTTATTTTATAATATTTTTTTATTGAATGCTTACATATATGACATTGATTAACATGATATAACCGTTACGTTAAATATTTATTTCCCCCGAAAATCGAATGACTTTCGGCTTTTGGTATTATTTTTGTTCAGCTTGCAAATTTTGCAAGTGAAATGACAGTATTGCCCCCTCAAAGGGTAATGTGAAAAGGTTGAAAATATCTGTCCAAGGGATTTCGTAATAACATGTTGGGCTCAACAATAAATGGGGCAGGTGCCAATATGGTCGTCCTCTAACAACTATTTTGGGAGACTTTATATTGAGATTCTACAGTATTATGATCCTTCGTTTTGTACCGACTGGTCCCCAACAACGAGCTTTCGCTGTCCCGCAGATATGGGCCCTATCTTTGATATATCTGTACACAGTAGAGAAGAAAATATTAAATGTAGCGATGCCACGTGTTATTATTAATCAATGATAAAATATTGAGGTGAACTTTGTAGGCTCTTTTTGTTTTAATTACTATCAAAATTACTTTATCTAATAAATGTTTAGTTGGAATTATGGGATTTATCAATTTTATTTGTTATTTTATAATTGATTGGTGGCCTAACATAATATTAATAACGTAGTATCACGATTATGCTCAATACTACACAAGCTGGATATTCACTTTACACTCTAAAAAGTTTTGAAATTTTGAATTTATACCCTAATAGTTCAATGTTCTCGAATTATACTTCCAATCAAACAAATTTGTTTTAATCACACCTATTTTGGGCATTAAACCCAACGCAACCACCCATTCTTCTCTCAATCTGACTTTCAAAAAAGACGTGGCTTGACCTCAAAAATAGGTGTGTTTTGACTACCACATTCATCCTCACTTCTCGTGATTTGCACGTGGAGTGAAACCGATAGTAAATGGAACGGGAGTTATCTATAAGGCCCAATTGCAACAAATTTGTTTAATCGATGGTGCAATTTAAAAAAATTAAAATTTTAGGGTGCAAATTGAGAATTTAGAAATTTTTTTGGGGTGCCAAATTAAATTAACCCATCTAATATTAACTGCCCTAAACCTTGTGTGTCAAAATACTCCACACTACTAAAAATCGATTATTGATCGTGTACATATTTTAAATAGTAATTTATTTATTTATTTATTTTTTAATTATGCAATTTAAAATTAAATTGGATAGAGAGAACATAGAGGTAGGTATGTATTAGTGACTTTATTTGGTATTAAAGAGGCTGTTGGATGACTTTTTTTTGAAATTGACGACTATGCAACTAAAATAATGTTTTTAGGCGAGATTTAAAAAAAAAATGAATGTGGTACTTTTGGATGAAAATTAGATTAATCTTAAGTGTTGTTATTCTTTTACACCAAATGAGGCCAAAGGATGGACATAGTGAAAGTATTTAATTCTAATACTAGCTTTTTGTCCGAATATATTATGCAATACTAAAAATCGATTATTGATAGTACAATATTTATTATTTAAATATTAATTTATCTTTCTTTTTTTTCTTTAATTGTTGAATTCAAAATTAAATTGGATAAAGAGAAAATAAGAGTTAAGGGATAGAGAAAAGAGATGTAGATGTGAATTAGTGGTATTGTTTAATATTAAAGAGTATGGAAGCCACTGTGCCATAAATCTGGAATTTCATGGAGGTATTGCTGATCATGTGAAAGAAGTTAATACCACTCCATAAGGGTTTATAGCTAAAAAGACAAAAAATAAAAAATAATATTCAACTGATATAGTTTTAAATGACCTTACTGTGAATTTGTTACATCCGTATTGAATGAAGAGTTAAATTCTAGACTGTCAGAAGAAAATGAGACAAAAATATAGAGACCAAATAATGTAGCGCAAGCATGATAATACTTGGAATCTCACTTTTTTATTCATTTAAAATTTAAATGTTCCTTACTATATCAACATTACATCATATTTTTTCTTATTTTTTTGTATTTTGTATTTTGTATTTTGTTTTTTAAGTTCAACAATCAGAGATATTCGAGCTAGCTTAGGTGTGTTTCAATTAAATTTTTTCTAGGTCAGGTCAAATATAGGATGTCTATGTTGGGACTAGGATATTCATGAATCTGACTCTAAGAAATTGTCAAGATTCAAAATCATGACATCTGAATTTACAATTCGTTCCTCGTATTACTTGAACTAATTTTGGTTAAGATACTTAATGTTAATGTTTAGTAAACGAATAAGGGTTGTATCATAGGTGCACTGATCAAGTTTTATTATATCCAACTTGATATATTCAGATTAATGCATGTTCTGTTAATAAACTTCAAGTTTTACTTGATTCTTGGCTAACTCAGAGACTACCGACATGGTGAGCTGATAATGATAAGATCAATTCAAAAGGTGGTTTAAATACTTAAAAAAATAATAAGTATGTTACGATATCAATATTCTTTTATTTTTTTTAAGTACTATAGTCAAACCCATTAAATAGCCCACATGACAGAAGAGGGTTGGGAATTCGTAAAGAAATTTTGGGCTATGGAAGATCCTTATTTGTGCAGCAGTGCATGCAATTAAGTTGTCGATCCCTTGTGTGCAGTGTCACGTGAAATTCGCGAGAGAGAGAGAGAGAGAGAGAGAGCTCGATAATAACTGATTCTCTCTCTCTTTCAGCAGATTATGTCTATACTGTGGATGAATGTAGTGGAAGTACAATGTATCTTCCATGGTGGTAATAATAGTACGTACGTACAGAACAAACAAGCTTGAACCATTTACTCAGGTTGCTTCGAGTTGTTTTTTTTGCCTCTTCAAACTATAACATACGGCCTTTGGGTGCGTAAGTTATACGACGGCTATAACATTTTTACAAAAAATAAAAATATTGTAGTTTGTTTTTGATTAAAAGTATTATAACATTTGGAGTCGTGGAGACCTGCACAAAATTTCTTCATTAATAGTGATGATACCTCAAAATAAATTTCAAACGCCAGCTCAGAAGGTTAGCTCAATCCAAGAGGTTAGACTAGATGAACAGAACTTGGAAGAGTAGAGTTGAAAATTCCTTCGAGATGAGCAAGGGTAATAACAACCAAGGCAACAGCTGAAAGATCACGAGAGGTTCCTAAAAGCGTTAGGAAACAATAATCAAGACACCTAATCTCAACCAACCAAGATCTTCTCCTATAATCAAGGAGAACCCTATGAAATAAGGGCAAGAATCTCGGCTA